CATGGAAGACATGTGTTCCAAAATCATATCATTTTTTATATTAAAATCTTGTTGATCCTCTTAGAATTGTCCATTATAAATCATGAATATGATAATTTTTTTCATGATACATAAACAACTATATTTTTCTCTTACATTAATACACAATCTAAACTATTTTTGAGGTATCAACTATATACTTTTAACAAATTTTATGGGATCTGACATGACTAATACAAGGATAGTGATTAATTTATTTTTTAATTTTTAAAACCTCTTTTAACAGTCAATTTTTTAAATAAATTAGTTGTCTTTTTAAGTTAAACTAGTTAAAGCAAAACCTATTTAAAAAATTTATTAATAAACCATTTATAATAGTTTACTAACTCTAAAAAACTTAGTTTCAGATATGATTTTTTGTTTCTCTTAATTTCACTAGGTCAACTAAAACTCCATCTTTTTATTATTACATTTCCTAATAATTTTACTTTTGATATATAAATTTCACACTTTTTCAATTTATAGTGTTAGGCTTGTGATTTATCATTGAGTAATTTATAATATTTTATACTTGTTCAATGTTAATTGAAGGATTATTTAGTACTGGAATTAGATGGAGTTTGAAATTATAAATAAAAAATAAAAAAAAGTGAACAGTACCGTATGAACAGTGTCAATGAACAGTAAAACCGCGTACAAACTACGTATGAACATTAAAAACCGCGTATGTACAGTGACTGCTGACATCATCAGTGACATCATCATAACGTCATGGTTGACGTCACATACGCGTACAGTGCGTGTACAGTACGTGTGCACAGTATTTTTCAGCGTGAATAGTGTCCTGAACAGTGTTTCCGGCGGTGAACAGTAAATTTTGAAAATTTTCTATAAAAAGGGGGTTTCACACGAAATTTTTATTTCTTTATTCCTTTTCAAGGTTCTCAAAGGTTCTAAGGCCGTATACTACCATTTTCTCTCATATTAAACCCTCCTAAACTTAAATTTCTCACCAGATCTGAGATTCTACGTCTATTCTAAAGGATTTGAAGTAAGTTTCTTTAAGTTTGAAGCTAGATTTACCATTCATTTATCTTCTTCTTCTCTTTCTCATAGAATTTCATGGTGTTCTTAGGAGAAACTTCGTTCTAAAGCCGAATCTTCGGTGAATCTTGCATTAAAATAAGTAATATTCGGTAGATCTAGTGTGAATCATCTTTCTGAGGTAAGGGAAGCTTACTTTAGCCTATAATCTATGTTTTGGACGGTTGATATATTATTACAAGAAGTTTTGATATAAATTTTGTTAGATCTTTTGAGTAAAAGCTATTTTCTAAGCTGTAACTGCTGTTAATTGATTTAAAATGCTGAGATTTTGGCTGATCTATTATAAACTTGCCTTAGCTGAACTGTTACAATAATTTTGGCAGTGTGCATCATGCTAAAAAATATGTTTTGCATCATTATAGAGCCGAGTTACATGTTTAGGTGGGTAGACGTGTAACGGTAAGTTCATGCTGAGTTGTTGTGCTGTGCTGTCTGGATCCAGATACCGGAATGGGTCGCTCCTGGACCGGCTCGGTTCCTTCTGAATTACTTAGGCTGTGAAACCAGTTGAAAACCGTTTTCATGTTGTGCATTAGATGGGATGGAAATACATGGGGTCTTTGCTGTGAGAAATATTTTGCTCTATATATATAATTTTATTTTATGTTTGGTAAGCTCACCCTTGCATTTCTTTCTATGTCGTTGTGTACGTGTGTACTGCGATGATCGTACGGTGGTACGTGAGCAGATGTAGCAGGTGTTGTATCTACTTCACAGGCTGAGGGGTCAGTGGAGAAATGTTAGAAGCTGAAGTCGAGTAATATTGCATCTAAGTCCTTTTTCCTTATATTTTGAGACCTTATGTAGAGGGAGCTACGTAGTATAATTTTAGGTATTTTAAATATTATGAACTAAATATAATATTGTGTTGTTTTATTGGATATTTGTTGTAAGAAACTTTGTTTTATTTTGAATGAGAAGTAAATTTTATACTTATATTCTCTATTATTTATTTACCTTAAATAAGTATGTGATGTAGAAATAATGTTTTCAATTCCTTACAAAAAGGGGGTCGTGACATATAGCATACAGTTATTTTGCTTTCAAAATTTGCAACACTATCTTAAGGTTACTCTTATGTTTTTCTTTTGACTTAGCATAGATGAGAATATGATCAATAAATATAATAACAAAATTATTCAAAGAATGTTGTAAATATCCTAGAAATACAATTTTTAAAAATTAATTTTTTTTCTCAATCTCAAATAATTTTTTAATAAAAAAATAAAGTTCATAAAATTATTTAAGCTAAGTTTTTTTTTCTTTATTTCTTTTAATCATTTAGCTCTAAAAGTGACATTTTATTGGATGCTATATACAGTGATTTAACTCCTATAATTAATTTGTGAAAAGTTTAATTTCCCTTTCAAGAGGTAGGCATGCGATTTCTTTTGAAAAACTTTTAGAAAATTCTTGAACTATAGGATAAGATTATGATCTTGTTTAATATCTCTGCTTCTGGAAAAGAAAAAAGAAAAGAAAAGTAAAAGTATGGATCCACAAGCCCTTTCTACCATGCATTGATTTATTTGAGTTGAGTGCATTTGAAAATTTAGATTTATACCATCAAGGTTGGAGGAGTATTTAGGGAAAAAAAATGAAAATTTTAGGATAATTTAAAATAATACAATTGGTAGACAACATATCTATGTCTAGAATAATATCTACATTACTCAAATGTAGATTAATAAAGTTTATATTGAAAGTTCTATTTTGATTGAAATATGACTATTTAAAGAAGGGGTATATACGCATGGGTCATAGGACAACTGGGAAATTAAGAAACATTTATTTATAAACATGTACCTTCTTAAAATTTCTTGAAGAAATAATCGAAGAAAATAGGCTGTAGTATAATTTGTAGATCGATATAACTTTTGAAAATCATAAAACACGAATTCAGTTTATAAAACAAAATGGGCCAGTTAGTTAATACAATTTCCTAATTTTTAATTTATGTCCATATATAAATTAAATTTACATTTGTGAACATAAAACGCATCAACCGAAGCATATGCGTGCTTTCTAGAAGGACAAAGGACTAAAGGGGACAACTAGGTAAGTAGCGTGATATCATTTTAGCTGATGATATGGTTTTTGCAGATGTTATTAGTGCTTCATATTCCGTGACCACTCTTTTACAAGCAATTTTTTAAATTTAATATTATGTAACTTTAAATTTATTTTTAAAATATCCTAGATTAAATGGAAGCTAACCTGAGTTAGCAAAGTAAGTGACTTATAAATAAGTGACCATCTTTAAACTATTAGATATATTTTAAAATCTATAAATGATTTAGATCTTTTACTTATTATTTAATAATACAAGTTTATACATATTTATTATTTAATCCTTCAACTTTTTTTAAAAAAAATTCTTTTTGAACTTTCAAAACATTTTATTTTATATTTTAAAACTTATTATCATTTTTTATCTTCAAAACTCTGTATGTTGTGTATTTTGGATCTTTTAACTTTATTTTAAGAAAGTATGCATTCAGATACATATTCAAATGTAGTTTGAATACATAATAAAAAATAACTTTTAAATCAATAGAATATTAAATGTTATGTTAGATCCTTAAAGTTCTCTACAAACTCTATCTATGAAGTTAATGATTTTTAGAATTAAAACTTTTACATCCCTTCAATTCATCATGAAATGAGGTTTTGTATTGATATATTATTCAATGTCTTCTTAGATCTTTTACATATTCTCCTTGTGTAATGGTTGTTTTTACAATTTTTGTAACATTTGCTTAAGCCAAGTTTTTCCTCTAAAGTGAAAATTATTGAAAAATAATAATTTATTGGAAGTAATTCGCTTAAGTCGTGAAATACAGAACAATAAAGCGAATGTGTGTTAGATTCATATATTTTTTATTAGCTTAAGCAAATGGGTTATGGCTTAAGCTAATTTTGACAAAAAAATTTAAATTTATCTTTGTCTTTGATTTGCTTAGGCAAATATGTGTTAGCTTAAGTTAATTTGACAAAAAATTTAGATTCATCTCTTTCTAAATTTATCTTAAGCAGAGAACTTTATCTTAAGTAACAATTACAATGAAGTAATCTGCATTTTTTTTTATTTAACGAAATATTTAGTCATTATCCCTATTCTGATCAAACTAAAATAATGATTTTTAAGATAATTGGAATGAGTATATGATATTTTCAAATAAAAAATCCTTACATTTGAAAGTATAACAAGCCAAAGGAAAAAATGGTTATGTAAGTTTAGGATAAATGTGAGAAACGAGTTTGTGAGAAAATAAGAAGGAATTGAAATAGAAAAAAAGGAAATTGAACAAAGTTTATATGATAATATTCTAAAAGATAATTATGTGACTTCATTAGATCTCATACTTTAGATTTCTCTTTTCAAACTTTTATCAAATAAAGTTTAACCATAGTCACTTGATTTATTGTTAAACTTTATATTAGAAATACAAAACAAAATCTTGAATATTTTTAGAAACAAATATGGGAGTGAGTTTAAGAGAATATGATATAGTTTTATGTGAATAAATAATTATATTTTTTCTTAGTCTTAAAAAAATTATATTAAAAAACTTATTTTAAATATTTAAGAGATTTAAATTCTTTATCTACAAAATTTAATAAAAATTAAATTTTAAATTTTTAAATTTTTAAAATTTATTATAACAATTCATTTTACTAACTTATTTACTTACGAAGTCATTTAAATGACTAACTCACCGAAGCCTTCACTGTATTTATAATACTATTTTAAAAAAATATGATCATACAAAAGAAAGAGAATTCCGTAAGAGTCATCTGTTCTAACTAGTCTTTTTTGTTGAGCTGCGTACCTTTCACTGAATGCCAATTTTTCCACTAAGAAAAGCAAAGTAAACATCATAAGCAAACAAACAATAACATTATTTATAGTGTTCTATACTTTCCTTCTATTTTCAGAAGACAGAGCCTCATATACCCTTTCATCAGCACAACCATAACACAAACAAACATTCCAAACACCATCATCATGCAATTAGATTCAACCCTGTCACTAATATTACTACAACTTCTTTTACCTTTTTCATGCATACGAGTAAATGATGCAAAACCAATCACCACCATCAACGTGTGGCCCAAACCAAGGAACCTCACGTGGACCCCACCATATGAAGCCACCCTCATTTCCTCCACATTCACCATCTCAACCACCCCTCCCCACCCCAACAAACACCTCTCCGCCGCCATCACCCGCTACCAAAACCTCGTAAAAACCGAACACTACCATCCATTGGTCCCCCCAAGGGTCAACCTCTCCACCGACCACCCACCACTGAAATATCTTACCCTTATCATTACTAATCCGAATGCAGAACTCGTCCATGAAGTGGACGAATCCTACGCTCTCTCTATCCTTTCTACTTCTGCCACTCTCACTGCAACGACTGCGTGGGGGGCCATGCGAGGCTTGGAGACATTCTCCCAGATTACGTGGGGTAGCCCCACGCATGTTGCAGTGGGGGTGCACGTGTGGGATTCTCCGCTCTATGTCCACCGTGGTCTCATGGTGGACACAGCGAGGAATTATTACCCTGTGAAGGACTTGTTGAGGACAGTGGAAGCCATGAGTATGAACAAACTGAATGTGTTACACTTGCATCTCACAGATGCAGAATCTTTTCCCCTTGTACTGCCTTCGGAGCCTACTTTGGCTAACAAAGGGGCTTATGCCCCTCACATGGTGTACTCGCCCGAGGATGTCAAAACAATTGTAGAATTTGGTCTTGATCATGGGGTTCGTGTTGTGCCTGAGATTGACACACCTGGTTAGTTCAATTTCTTTTGCTTTTGGGATTTTGTTTATTTATTTGTTTTGGTTTTTGTTGTTTGTGCTTTTCAAGAAGTGGGCAACACAAGTTGCATTAGAAAATTTTCCCCGAGATGAGCAGTGCTGAATTAACCGATTAATCAATCAATTAATTAATTGCCATGTGTTTGATTACTATGCAGATCTCTCTCCGCATGTTTATCATTTCAAGTAATTAAACAGGTTGTGTGTAAATAACAGTGATTGATTGGTTGATTGATTAATTAACTACAGGATAGTATAATTTTTAATAAAAGTTTACTGTTTATTAATTTTCATTGTGCACAAATGACGACACATTAGAAAAATTGATTATGTAACTTTAACATTCAATGTCTATTTATAGGGAGATAGATAAACAAAAGATTTGAACTTGAGTTTTTGTTGATTCATAGATTTCCCTTTCATCACAACCATGTTCCAGTCCATCCAGGCTGACTTATTGGTTTAGCGAGTTTCTGTGTTAAGTGTGTTTGTTTGTATAACTGTATTATAGTAACGTAGCATATAAAATATAATAATAATACCGTAAAGCAACCACTCAAATAGTGGCAGATTTTGAAAGAGTTATGCTATTTAGACAAGCAGATAATATATATAGGGATAGATGTGTTTCAGTTTCTTATGAAAAGCAAGAATAACGCTCACTTTTTCTTCTTTCCCCTGATGTAGAGACCTACACTTAATCATATAATGATATATGTATTACCTCAAAACATAACTAAACTTCGACATAAAAAATTAATTTATCTCATTCCAGGTCAGATGCTTCCTTTGTAACCCACAAAAGAAAAATCTTAGAAGTTTAGGAAGCTCTTCATTCTGCACAACAATTCAGCTTCGGATACTAATGTCTCTGCTATTATCGCAGATATTAGATCTCTAATATAAGGATTGGATTCCTACTTTTGAGTTGAATGAACCAATGTTCTCATTTTATGGCTGAATGGGTATTCCACTATGATTTATGATGATTATGAACTTATAATCTATAATCTGATGATCCAGTCGATTCTATGGTTATAATTTCATTTCATACCGGACCAAACCGGAATAGGGTTATATACATTCTCATTATGAGAAGGTGAGGATGACGTTAAGTTATCATGCCCCTTATGCCCTGGCCAATACACGTGTTACAATGGCCGGAACAAAGGATTGCGATCCTCTTTTGGTGTGATCCTTAGTTCCATTGCTGATTTTTTATAAAGCAGGAACTTTGTTAGGACTTAGGAATTTGTCTTTTCTTCCCCATTCTATACCAAAATAAAAAAGACTTCAAATCTCCTTTTCATGTTTTGGTTTATAATAACATAACAAGCATTGCAAAGTTATGGTTCTAGAATTGGTGATTAACATAAAGTGTATAATGGCAAAGCTTACCACCAGAATGTTTAATTTTCTGGCAAATGATTGGTTTCTATGTCGGCACAGCAAAAAAAATCCTAAACTGCAGCTTACCATGAGAGTGTCAAATTTCCTTGAAGTTAGAACTTGACACATAAAGAAACAGAAAACTAAATATTGTAATCACGAGGCCAATTAAAAAGTTAATTAGGCTTTTGAATGATGTCCAAATATAAAACATTGTTTTCTGCTCCGTTACTGTAAGTAATCTGATTGAATACCATATCTTTATCTCTTTAAAATAATTTAGCTTCACAAGATACTAGTTCTGAGAATTTTGATTTATGATGATCACTGACTAATAAAACTAATATTGGCAGGGCATACAGGATCTTGGGCTTTAGCCTACCCTGACATTGTAACTTGTGCTAACATGTTCTGGTGGCCAGCTGAAAGTGATTGGCCTGATCGGGTTGCTTCACAACCAGGAACAGGACATTTGAACCCCTTAAACTCCAAGACTTACCAAGTCCTAAAGAATGTGATACATGATGTGACCACATTGTTCCCAGAATCATTTTACCACTCTGGTGCTGATGAGATCGTACCAGGTTGTTGGAAAACTGATCCCACAATTCAGAAGTATCTTTCAAATGATGGAACTCTCAACCAAGTTCTTGGGATATTTGTCAACAACACTCTCCCTTTAATTTTATCCCGCAACCGCACTGTTATCTATTGGGAAGATGTTTTATTAGATGACATAGTCCATGTGCCATCCACAATTCTACCCAAGGAGCATGTAATTTTGCAGACATGGCAAAATGGTCACAATCACACTAAACGGATAGTTTCTTCTGGATACCGAACCATTGTGTCATCAGCAGAATTCTACTACCTAGATTGTGGACATGGTACCTATGTTGGGAATAACAGTGCGTATGACCAGCAAAATGGGGACACGGGCAACGGTGGCTCTTGGTGTGCACCTTTTAAGACATGGCAAACCATATACAATTATGATATAGCATATGGGCTGAGTGAAGAAGAAGCAAAATTGGTTTTGGGTGGGGAGGTGGCACTGTGGTCAGAACAAGCTGATCCAACTGTTTTGGATGCGCGAATTTGGCCAAGAACTTCTGCAATGGCTGAGTCTTTGTGGTCTGGCAACCGGGATGAAAAGGGTATGAAGAGATATGCAGAGGCCACAGATAGACTGAATGAATGGAGAAGTAGAATGGTTCACAGAGGTATAGGGGCTGAACCAATTCAGCCACTTTGGTGTGTTAAGAATCCTGGTATGTGTAACACATTTCATCCAATCTAGTTGCATTCTTCCTTTGTAACAAAATAACAATTACAATAAAAATAAAAGGAGAACCTATTCAAGCAAACCTTCTTTCACTCTTTCTTTTAGTATGGTCTATTTTGACCAACTCGTATGTAGTTAACAAAGAATGCTAACTTTTACATGGGTTTTAACAATTCTTGATTTTCCATTGTTGATGTAAATTGTAGTCTGTAAATGGTTAAAATTTTACCACATGCTGCCTTAAGAATCCAAATTTAAACAAAATCCTTTTGCAATCAGAGAGAAATTGTGACATCTCTAAATTATTTTGTTTCGAATTGGGCATTGCATTCATGGTAGAATTTGGATCAAGAATCATCCTTGTGTTGTAATTCTGATATGGGGTGTCAGTAACAACTAGGTTTGAGCGAGAGAGTTGAAGAGCCAGAATTTGCGTAAGATTAAAGTGTAATGAATTTTGTGGAGTTCGTTTTATTATCTTAAAGCAACCTCTTCCAATTAACTTAGCGAGTATCTCTTCTTGTACATTTGTATATGCTGTCCATTTCATGGTTGCATCTCAAAATTAACTTTGTGTCACATGAATTCAAAATTGAACATAACGACTCAAAAATAATAGCATCTTTACACAGCATAAAAAATTGCAAAAATGTAGAAAGAGAGCTTCCAGAATGAAGCTTGCTTACTGGTAGTAATGGTATCCTCAATATACACAGAATTTTAGATGCGTTATACAAAGTTCTGTATTCCTTCCAAAATTTGACAAGATACTTTTTATTTTTCTTATGAACAGATTTATCATTAATATTTTATGCTATCCAAAATCCATAATTATCTCAAATTACATGCATATTATAACAAAAGCACAATTTTTTTAGGTAGAATCATGTTAAATATATGTAGAGAAGATGTAAACAAAAATAAGTACTCCACAGGAAGATAAATATTTTGCTCACCTTCTATTGTCAAGGCATTACATCAAATGCCTATGCTCCAAAGAAACGGGAAAAGTTTTTCCCAAGGTTGTGGCAGGTTTTGTTTGTTGCCACCCATCAGCTAGGTCTTACAAGAAGCAGGAAATGTTTTTGCTGTGGATATTTTACCAGCAATAACAGGTATTCAGCATCCTCATAAACAAATCTGGTATAGATGTCAATCCTCTGTGTACCTGCATCCATGTTTACTTCATTTCTTTCTAATTATTTTCAAAAGGACAATCCAATGATGCATCCATGTTAAATGATGTTAGCAACTTAAAAAAACTATAATAGTATACTGGCCATATTTTTTAGGATTTGTCCAGTCCCAACTTGTGCAACATCACACTAAAGTGCTTGCCACCAAAGAATTTCAATCACCTCCATATTCTAGAACTATAACCAACTGAGCAAAGGCTTATAAAGGTTGCAGACAATAAAGAGAATAAAAATATAAAGTGAGTAGGAACTTCTTATTTTAACCGTTTAACAGAAAGTGAAGCTTATTTAAGATTGGAGAGTAGAGATAATTACCATTGTTATGAAATGTTATACACCTAAATGGATCCAATAATCGGTCCCTCAAACCTTGGATTGCATCCCCAGAATATACTAACTAACATGGATTAAATAACTTCATGCATTTAGTTCCACTTATTTGGAAATATAATCATCCTCTTGAATGGACTTTTGAAACAAAAAATAAAAATAAAAAAAATTTCTAAAACAATCTGTTAGCAAACATGTACTTAGAATATTCAATCTCCATGTCAAAATGCTGGCTAGTCACCGACAGGGGCGTGCAAAAAACCCAGATTTAATGATCCAATCCATAACTAAAACAAATTAGATTTAAAAATCTAGATTTTTTTAAAATTCAGACATCCAATCCAATTTTTTTTTGTTTAGATAAATTTTAATTTAATCTAATATAACCGGTTTTCTGCTTTTAGAGGTAGCTCGCTTTAGCGCTCTTATGCAAGCCTGCGCACAAACATATGCTTTTTATTTTCAGCAGCAGTTAGCTCCCTATCCCTATACAAGCCTTATGCGTCTAAATATATGTTTTTCACTTTGTTAAATTTGGTTTCTTGCGTATCTAATATATATACTTTGTTAAATTTTTTTTCTTGCGGTATCTAATTGATTTATATATATAAATTTTATATACATATAAAATAAAATATATTTTTTATTAAATATATTTTAAAAATTATATTTTAATTATTTTATGATAAGTAAATTTTATATCTTATAATAATATTTTTAATATATTAATTTGTAATAATATTATATATAGAAAATTATGAATATATATATATATATAAATTTTGCTATGTTAAGAAAATATATTATTAAAATTAGTTTTAAACTGGATTTACATTTTGAAACCAGTTTTAATCCAAATTTTAAAAAAGTAATATAGATTGGTTTAAAATCCAATCTACATAATTAGATTTAAAATGGATTTAAATTAGATTTATACAAATTTAATCCATGCTCACCTCTAGTCACTAATGGGTGTAAAGAGTAATTTTGCTGGATTATTTATCTCTAGCTGAAAGAAACTTGGTATATCCTTATTAGGAATTGTCTACCGCCACTCTGAAATGTCTATAGTCACTTTTTATTTAAGATTTTTATTAAAATATTATTATTATTATTATTATTATTGATTTAATCAATCTATACAAAAATTATTTTATATATAAATATAAATTATTTGAAGAGGAGTGACAATAGACTCACCCCCAACGTATTGCTGGAAAAAATTTCCAAATTCTTATTAACAAGATATATATCACAATCTTTCTTCACTTGAAATAGACAAAATATTAAATTATATCTAAGAATTAAAATTTGACTACGAAGCAAGTGATTTCAACTTGATTTGCACAAATTATAACATATTAAGGTAATGTTCAAGTGAACTCACAGAGAAGTCCTTATAAAAAAAATTATATAATATTTTTTCTTACAAATTTAAAACTTATCTCTTCAAATTTTAGAGAAGTTAAACGAAAAAAATTCTCAAAACTTATAAATATATAAAGAAATATAATTTTTTTACTAACTTACAAGAAAATTTTATTTACTTGTTATACTTTAAACATTGTAACCATTAATTTCACAAAATATTAAGTGGATGATTCCAGTCTAGAGAGCCGAGAGGTGATGTAGAAAGAGGGGTGAGGTTGAAATCCACTAAGCAACTAATGTAAAGGATAATCCAGCCAGAAATCAGTTGCAACATATTCATTGACGAGAGCTCAGAAGTGTGTAATTTCACTGAAATTATAGGGCTCAATAATATTGTGAGCATAAGCATAGCAGTAAGCTCTTAATTCATTGTCCACTCTAACTGAAACAAAGACACAAAATTGTCAAATAGCATAATGTATGGCCAACTCGTAAAAGCTAACCAAGGTCAAAACACTCCTTCAAGGTGGTCGTTGGCAAGAATTTTAATTGGGGAGGCCAAATTCATAAAACATCACTGAAAAGAGACATATTTTGTCACACAGCCAATATTTTAACATCATTTTATATATAGGGCATGTAGGGTAACTTTATATATAAGATGTTAATTTTTTAAAATATCAAGCTTTTAGCAATTTGGTAAACACCAACAAATCATAAGTTTCACAGGATGAAATAAGTTTGCATTATATGAAAGAGCGATTTTTGGACCGATATTTGTTGAACTAGAAAATGCCTACGAGACATACTACAAGACTTGTATATGTAAAAAAAATTACTATCTCACAAGACATACGAACAGCAAAATTATTATTGAAGTCAGAAGTTGTATATCGTAATACTCATTTTTCTCTTAATACAAGTTTCTTTATATTATTATTGTATTGTAAATGTTTGTAATAAGTAAAATTTATATGTAGTAAAAATGTATCAAATGAAATAGTTAAACTAAATGAATTTTGATAATTTTATCTTACATATAAAAAAAAATTACATGTAAAAGAAATGAAATCTAAAATTTTGATTGGGGGATGCGGGGAGGGCATGGCTCCCCACAAGACTAACGTAGCTCTGCACCTACTTTCAGAATGCCTATCCTTACATAGTCTAAGCTATGATCCGGTTCAGTGGCTTACAATTTTCCAATTTTGTGACTCAAATTTCAAACTTTATATGCTTTACCATCAAGTCCATCGCTTGGATGGCCACCCTTGGTGTCGTGTGTATCTATTTCATTACTTTATTAACAGTGGAGGACGCTTATGCTGTAACCTCTGTCACTTTCATCATCTAAAAGAAAGCAAAAAAAAAAAAAAAAGGGACCATTAAACACCAGTCAATTACAGCTAAAGTAGAATAAACTCAAATTCATAAAAAGGATTTAAAACAAATGAGAAAGATTGATCATGCTGTAAGTTTGTAAAGGTTTCCCTCCTTGTGACATCATAAACTAGCAGAAAAGAAAAGGAAGCACTTCATAAATTTTAAAAGATGTTAACTATCAATTATTCAAATACACACTTTATTAAAAACAACTCTTTACTACAAAAGAGATGAAAGCAAAAGGGGATGCTCTTGAGAAGCACCTTGATTCCCAATCTAATAATGATAAAATTACACAACTTATGTTACTATCTACATTTAAACTTAACACATCAAAAGGATAGCCTGAAGCCAAGGTTTGTAATGAACGTTATAACTCCTTGCAAATGCTTAATTTGATCTATCTTCATCAAGCATCACTCTGAAATAACAAATATCAAGACCAATAATAAAAGTATAATATTAAAACAGAGATGGATGCTAGTTACAACATGCAAACACAATTTTCTCCGTTAAGAAATTCTAGAGAGGCCTCTGCTGTAAGAGAATAAGATAACAATAGCGCATAAATCAATCTAGTGTACTAAGAATGATTCCTGGCCTTCCTCTATAGTAAGAATTGGTTATTTCCCTGAACCTTTCCTACCCAGCAACGACAAATGTAATGTTATATTAAGTGAATATGCACCTTAAATTTGTCATCTTGGTCAATGAACAAACTAATCAACAGAAACAAGCTCATATATAGTTAACCACCATATAAATTAGGGAGTAATAAGCTCAAATACACCAATTTGTTTAAATATACAGATTACTAACATAAAAGCCTAGTTGAGTAATTCCCAATACATATTTATTAAGTATTAACACCAATCAGTTGCTTCAGAAATATATGAAACTGCAGGAATCACAAACCTTTTTGGCCTTGGGGGTGATTGCCAATTGTCAGATCTGATTTTAGCTCCCTCCAATGGCCAAAGGACCACCTTGGTCAGACCATGTCTGGAGCCTCTAGGGTTTCAACAATTGAAAACCTCAAGCCCAAGCTCTCAGGAGCAGGTTCCCAATGAGTCCCCTATCTCTAACTTTGCCACACTTTGCCAGATGCAATCTGATTCAGCAGAATGAGATTAGTTTTGGCGTCCAAGGTGTTATTCATGGCTTCAACACAATATGTGGTTTGGCTTCAATGGAGAGCTTTGCCTATGCCTGACAACATTAAGACCAGTTTGCATTTTTTTCCAAATGTGGACATCTGTTACCTGGTCTACAAGTTCTAGACTTGTAGGTGATGTAACTCAGCCACCCATTGAAGCAAATATATATACAATGCTAATAACTTGATGTTGTACAGGTACACTACATCTCTTGTGGTGTACCTTATATGCCACCATCTTTTCATCTCTAAATGAATGTCAATTCTCATCTTGTATTGTTTTTTGGGTAAAATCTCACCTTGTGATTGTCCATGTGCAAAAATCAAGAAAATGTTGGAGGATGGAATTCGAGCTTGAAGGAGGTAAGATGTTGCTTTGTATGCATACATACTAAAGGTTGCTCTTCCTATTAGCGTCTTTACTCTAAAATTTGTATCTATGTTGTGCCAGAACTAATAAGAACTTCTGCAACTGCTCTATTTCCTTCATTCCAGTGAATTTAAGCTGTAGGATGTTCTGATGCTTGTATGTAATAGCGGATGGAACTCAATTTTGATAATGATTAGTGCTTTTACATGATAGTGTCTTATCCAAGATAGAGGAAGATATGGTGTTAAATGCATTGCATTGATAATGCATATGCCTGATACCAGGTTATACTATTTTATGAGGACTTACCATCACCTCTTGTGGTAAGAACAATGCATAGAAGTATAGAGTGACAAGTTTTCACCAAACGTTCAGTCTAAATTGATGAGAAGATATCTTTTCTCAGGTGAGGATGAAGGTTGGTTAGAATACAATGTGCCCTTTCATTCATATTTCATAAAATAAATTACTTTGTCCTTAACTTCTTACAATAAGACAAACTGCCCCTACCATCAAGATTTAGGAATAAAACTAATGGACAAGCTTTTTCAGTTAAAACAAGCTCAGTAGTTACGTGATCAGAATTTTAGAGTAGTTTTATGTAACTGAAGATGAATCTTGATTACACAAAAATTTGTACTTGATATGTTGCCAAATACAATGAAGGGGGAAAAAAGTTAAAAAGGAGAGTTGCCTGAAAGATCTTAAGATCAACTCTACAAGTTCAAATAAAGAACAAAAAGCCAAGAAGCAACAAAATTAAAAATTGAAACAATATAGGGTAACAAAACAATAATACATTGATTCGCCTATTTATTCACATTTTAAAAAGTCCACAAATTTTGACATGATTATCAGTTCTCAAACTCAACTATAGTCATGAGCTTAAATTGTTATGTTAGCCTTCCAAAACAGAAACACAGAAGGGCAACAGATAAAAAGCATTAGAATATAAAAAATTGAAAATCAGTCACAGAATGTCAGGGTCACTCACTCGAGCTTAGCTACATTCTTGGACTTGGCATACTCTAAAGGTCTGAAAACTGAAGCATAGTTATGGTGACGAATAATCATGACAAGGATGAATATGTTGGCTACTAGAAAAAGTAAGCTTGCCATCCAAAGCTGTAAGAAGACATTTTTACCCTTGAACTCAAGCAGGTAGCCCCACATCAACCAATGGGTCTGAGCTCCAATCCACAGAAGAATGCAAGATAATCCATCCCATCTAAGTTTCATTTTACTCCAAGGGAGTATTAGAGGCAATAAGCAAAAGAACCAAACAAAATACTGTGCTGTAATCACCTGCAAAATACACAGAAATGAGATCTGCTAAAATATAAGCATCTTGACTTAAAGGGTCATTACCAAAAGGAGCTCCAATGCAGATAAGATTATGCTTGAAATAAGCAATCTACTTTACTGAATTCTATATATAAGAACTTTAATTAAATGTAATGGAAATATGCCATACTACAGGAAATTTAAGCATTTGTTTTATTAAATACTTGACAAACCTTATTGAATGCCACAAATGCCACAGTCTGCACAAATAGACAAAATGGCAAATCCTGTGCAAAGCAGAAGACAAGAACCAACTGAACCAAAAATTGTGGCAAAAAGGAGATAAGCTTTTCCACCACTGAAGTATCATGCCCATAACGAAGATATATGTGATAGAAATATATAGAGAAGTTGTGCCTTGGATCTGTACGAGTAAGATGGTACAACAGTGCCTCATGAAGGAACTCCCACTCATACAAACAGAAGAACAGACCAGTACAAAAGAGGAAAACCAATCCCGAGACCAGTCCAAATATCAGCCTGTTCCTTGTGAGTGTGTTTTTAAATAGATTATGTAATGTATGCCAGCCATTCCCATCTTTGGGTCTCTGTTCCTGTACAGCATTCCAGTTCCTCAGAACAGGTTTCTGATTAGATGGGAAGAAGTTCGGATCAAGAACCAGGATAATAGGAATGGAATAAATTATAGGATAAATCCTGAAATGGACAACAAGTCCATACCAAAATGCTGACTGTAACACATTACCTGCAAACCAGTGGAAGAAGGAAAAAATGGTAAAAAAGGTACACCATCAACGTACCAAGAGACATGCAAATATCTAATGTTTTATACCTTTTAAGGAAGAGGCTTTCTTTGGTGTACCAACAGCAAGCCCATCAATCAAATGTAAGACTCAAAATAAATTTTTCAAACTGATACTAAAATGAAAACAAGAAAAAAAAAATTGAAAACCAGGTAAACTAACCCCCCCCCCCCCATATACTAAAAGGTTTCCCCAGTACCATTCCTTTTTTGCGGGGCTACACCTCATAAAAATTAAGGTCATGAGTCCCACTAACACAAAAAGATAAATATGCCCAAGTTCTTTTTTTTTTTCTTGTATGTATTTAAATTAAATAAGATACATAAAACAGACGGTAACAAAGAATATCTCATATTAAACTAGAGTTTTGACCTTTTAGATAAAATTAACAAACAGATATCAAAATGAAAAGGTTTTTCTTTACAGTGGTTGTTGCTTGGTAAAAATGTGGAAAAAAGTAAGGATGGAAAATTAATTTTGATAAATTCTCCACAGTACAGTGCAATACAGAATGTAAATTGTAAAATATATTCCTAAAAAATAATTTTGACTTTATCTTGCAAAGAAGAATACCACCAACTGATTATGTACAACTACTAGTACACTTTTTACAACTTCAGAGAAGATTACATATTTTTTTAAAAAAAAAAGATAAACTGAACATTACTATTACAAGTTTACAACACCATCAGTTTAAGCCAATACAGAAGCAGAGCCATACCTTTCATAAGACAGATAATGATCCACAATATCATGGCACAAACAAGGGGTTCACAATTCCCACGTGTCCCAATGGTGAAGGTAAATGGATTAAAGAGCCACGTCATGACAGAATAGTTGCAGAGATTTTCAGGAACCTTCCGTAGCTTTAGAATATAATAGATAAAATATCCCACAAGTAAATCTGCAATTTAGATATGAATCATATGATAACAACTGCCTAGTTGTAACTTATAATCCTTGGAAAACCATTCAGCATATTCATTATCTAAGAAGTAAAAACACATTAATTTGAACTTATTGCAGAGAAAATGGTCACTTAAAATCCAAAAAAAAAAAAAAACCAGAAATTTCTTAATATCCCAAGTCTAAAAATTTGAATACTTTTGCCTTTTGTACCATCACCAAAACAACTGCCTAGTCGTAACTTGTAATCCTTGGAAAACCATTCAGCATATTCATTATCTAAAAAATAGAAACACATTAATTTGAACTTATTGCAGAGAAAATGGTCACTTAAAATCCAAAAAAAAAAAAAAACAGAAATTTCTTTAATATCCCAAGTCTAAATATTTGAATACTTATGCCTTTTGTACCATCACCTGAAGGATAGAGTAAATTTCTTTTTCCCTTTTTGTTACTTTGTTTCAATACAAATAGATTCTGGTAACAAACATATGCACTTATACATATATACCAAACCACAAATTTGTTAAAATTGACTTTGCTGATTTTCCAAACAGCAGTTTACCACTCTGCACTTATAATTAAAGCATACATATTTATGCCACTGCTACACATAGTCCATGGATATGAACGTTTTTTATGAACACAACACAAGCATGTGCTGAAATTACATCGAAAAACTTGATCATACCTGAAGATGAAAAGAGAAATTTACCCCAGGATCGATGGATGAACGAATTTGGAATGAGAAGAAAGGCAAGCAAGGGGGAATAGCGATACGTGGTTCGCTTGTAAGGGGAATCACCCAATGCCATTAAAGCAGCAGCATCAGAAAACACAAGGTAATCAACATCAGTGAATCTAACTTCCATATGAGCATCTTGCCACTCTCCATATACAATCAAAATAACACGAAAAATGGCAGAGAAAAGAAGCAGTGAACGAATATCTAAGAATCCCATTGCTGAAAGTGTAACAACAAAACAAATAGTCAGTTTCACAATCACAATTGCCTCAACAAAGCATAATTTGGATACGTGCTTTATTTTTTCAGTTAATACACAATATTAGACTCTTAATTTAAAGGCTGTCTTATTTTCGACATAATTTATTTCCCTTTTTCTCTTCATATTTAAAATATTTTTCAACAATAAAAATGACAAGAACATGAAATAAATCAATGGTGAAATTGCCATCTAAGGTGTCCGCAGGGAATGGCTTTAGCAATTGTTCATATAATGAAATGAATGATAGCAAACACCAACTTCAGTTACTACTTATACGCCTAATTGATGCAATCTTAGATCTGAAAACCTTAAATAAATAAATTAAAGAGAAACACAGAAATTTACGAACAAATAGTGTTTGGAAACAGAGTCAATAGCTTCAGTTAGAGTGAGGCAAAACCTGAGATGAAGAGGAAGCACGGTGTGGATTCAGTTCGGTTCGGTTCAACAAAATTCTCGACCCGAAACTTGAGAGGAATCACACAAACTTGTGTACTGTACTCTCAAGTTAACTGACCTAATAGTGTGGTTTATAAGAATTTTTAATATTTATTGTTAGTCCTTATTTTACATAAAAGCTATAATTATTGTAATTTTGAAATGGGAAAAGAATATAGCAAGATTTATGTTTGTTTTTATTTTGATTTTTTATTTTTAGAAAAAATAAAAATAAAACTTGTTTAATAGTTTAATTTTTAAAATTGTTTTTAAGATGAGAAAATTAAAAAAAAATCAAAACACTTTAAAGTTATTCTTATTTTTTATTTTTGAAATAAAAATGAAAAATTATTTTTAAAATTATTTTTTAAGAACTTGTCTTAACAAACAAGTTTTTTTTTCTTTTAAAAAGAGAAAATTATTTCTAAAATTTATGGTTTTTATTTTTACTTGCTTAAAATTCATGGTTAAATTTTCCTTTACATTAAGTTGTACTTGCAAGAATATGAAATGTGGCTGAAATTTGACGGGTTATCATGGATTCAGATTTTCTCTTGTAGTGAAAAATTGGATGTCAAATTTTATTTTTACTTAGGCAATTTTACATTTATTTAAGTAAATATTAAGGATTAAGGAAATAATAAAAAAAATTATACAAAATTCACTTCAAGTAAATTTAAAATTGATTTAAGAGAATTTTGGTTAGTCATCTACAAAATAAATAGGATGGACTTACTACTGGTCATAACATTTGTTCTCTTAGCCCCATTACAAACTTTGGCAAACTTGCAAACCATTTCCGAGATATTTGAGTCTCACAACATTTAGTATTTGTGCAGTGCATATTAAAGTTCAAAGTTTAAATGTTGACCTTATTTTATTTTCACTCATTTTTTATCTCTCCGTCACGAGCTCATACGTAGCCTTAGCATTAAACTTTGGCTTACGTGTCATGACGGTCAACGGGCTCCGATACCACTTATTAGTATCTCTCACGAGCTCATACGTAGCCTTAGCATTAAACTTTGGCTTACGTGTCATGACGGTCAACGAGTTCCGATACCACTTATTAGAACAAGTATGGACTTTACTATCAATAACATCCTCACCATCCAGAGTAACAATAAGTCGAAGAACACCATGCATTGATGGGTGGTGAGGTCTCATATTTACTATCATGAGGTCCTTTCTTGTAGCTGGGATATTCATAGATTTTTTTCCTCGATTCATAGAAGAATGAATCGCTTTTAAAAAAAAAATTTATCAAAATTCAAGATCTAATAAATTGAATAATTGAAAATGACTCTTCAAATTAATGAATTTGTGACTCCCGAATATCAAACTGATTTATTAATTTTTTATAACGTATTCTACTTTTTTTTTACAAATAAGACAGTAATCGTTGCCGTTTTCTCAGAATTTTACGTAAACCCCTTTGAGATAAATAGTCTTTTCGGTGCAATTCAAAATGCGAAGTAAGTCTTCGTATCTTATTGGTAAAATGGAATATTTGAAATTCAACTGATCCCGGGTTTTCTTCTTTTTTTTCTTCTGAAATAACAAGTATAAATGAATTTTTTACCATAAAAAAATGAAATGAAAGCTTTCCTCTTCCCCTCGCTTTTGATAAATATTTTTAATGATCAGTAATAGTAATGATACTCATTTTTGTATATAAATATGAATTTCCTTAGAAATTCCTGATTGAATTCATTCTTTCTTATTAATCAATCCAATCTAAATAGATATAAAAGATACTATATTTATGGATTCACCAAATAACAAATTGTATGCTTGAAAAATAAAAGACAATTTTGTTGATTCTTTTTTCGATCTAATGGATACATAATTAGATTAGTATCAATGCCACAATGTGTGTTCCCATTTATGTTATGTATATAACAATTTGTCTTCATATACTAGATATATATTATGGTAAATAGAAAACAAATTTCGATTAACGAATTTTCAATTGCGGATACATATGTAGCCTTACTATATTGAAATGACTTCCATTATGGGTATTAAACCAATAGCGATTTATACAAGCTAATTCTTCTAATCTATAATTTGGCCAAAGAAAAATTTGAAAATTCATTAGTTTTTTTTTATCTCTGTCAAGATCTTTTCATTTTTTAGTCAAAAAATTATTACCTTTATTTTCATTGTGAAATATTGTGTTTCTATTCATACTATTTATATTCTTAGGATTTAAACAAATTACAATTCTCAACTCTCTACGACGTCTAGCGGATAAAATATTTTCAGGAACAAGCAAATTATAATTTTTTTTTTCTAATACTTGATAAAATAATATTGGCTTATGTGTCATGACGGTCAATGGGCTCCAATACCACTTATTAGAACAAGTATGGACTTTTTAGTACCTCTTCACACTAGTATGATATTATCTACTTTGGACCTAAGTCTTCATTGTTTTGTTTTTTTGAACATAATCCAAAAGGCTTCATACTAATGGAGATCTACCATACTTATATGCCTTTGATCTTCTCCAATTTTAGTCAATGTGGGACTTTGCACATCCCAACACTCTCCTCTCCCTCTCCCTCTCCCATTTTTCCTCTCCTTTTTCTCTATTCCTTTTACATTATGAATAATCTCACAACAATATTTTGTTATCCATCTTTTAAGTATGTATTTCTCAAGGACAACATTTACACCATTAGCTTCAAACACTTTTAACTCATAGGAATAAAGTATGTCAAATGTTTCAAACTTCTTATAAGTATAAGATATAGTCAGTGGCAGATCTTCACTAAAACTTTAAGGGGAGTCATAAATATTGATAAAGTGATTTAACTAAAATTTATATTGCTCAAGCAAATTCTCAAAATAATATAGTAATGCAAAGTAGCAATAAATATATAAAAGATTAAGTGTACCGGCATTCAAAGTACTGCTCTTTGTTCCTTTAAAGACTTGAAGTCATCAATAATCGAATTAGAGTTAAAAGTTTAAGTTATCTCTTTTTTAATATAAATCAACATAGTGTATGCCAGAAATCCATCCTCCATTTTATTTCGCAATCTTATCTTGATTATCTTCATGGTTGAAAATGATCTTTTTGTTGTTGTTGTAGAGACTGGAAGAATTAAGATTAGTCGAATTACTCGATCAATCAAATAATAGGTATTTATATTTCTAGTTTATGCTAAAGCTTCAGATGATTCAGGCATAGTTGACAAATTATTCAAATCTAAATGACTAACAACATCAAGAATAAAATGTTGAAGTTGAAATCTCAAAATAATCTTCTCTTTGCTCATTGAAATCCATAGGATAGAACTTGTTTATTAAAGCACATATATTCTACAAAAATAAAAATTACAAAATAAAATCAATAATGAGGTAGTGATAATAACATATATTCTGCACAAATAAAAATTATAGAAGAATTATTTGTGTATATATTTGTCATTTTTTCTTATTTCAGACAAATAGAAGCTTCATCTACATAAATGATTAAAAAAAGGGGTGCACTTTTTTACTGGAGCTATGACTATTTCATCTTATGACTTACTACTCATAAATAAGCTTAATAACTGAAAGTAAATGATAAAAAAAAAAAAGGCGCACTTTTTTGTTCTAGCTGGGGTTATAATTTGCAAACAGTACACATCTATGTCTGGCCGAAGAAAAACCATGGAAGGAGGAATTGAGAAGTTTCTTCTTGAATGAGTTTCCTTTCTCTCACTTATGTGTCATTTGCTTTATGTATAAAAAGTCTTTTAACTTTTAAAATTGAAATGATGGGCACAGGCCACGACCAACTTTATTCTATAAAAGCATATCTATTTGTTTCACGATTTATCAATTAGTTGTAGGACCTATATATATACATATATATATATATATATATATATATATATTATAATTATTAAAAGATTTACAAGCTTTGGGAGAATCGTGGCTCCCTCCTGCTCCTAAGAAGGTCTGCCCTTGGATATAGTAGTTGAAGAACGATCAAATGTAATTGTCCATGATCTTTGTTGGTTGACTTTAGTAATGACATATTCAACCAAAGGAGAATTTTCAATCCTTTGTAATATGCAACAAGTCAAAAATTGAACAAACTCTTGTTGAAATAAGTTAAACAATGTATGTCTGTAAACCTTGATCATTTGTGTTAGTATTGAAAACAACTTATATCGAAACATGGTTAGCTTATGATGGGAGTTATACTCCAAGTTTCATACAAGCTTTAAAATTAGAATTTAAGCTTCACTTAGTTGAGTATTCTATATTTTAAGGGTGAATACATCTTCATTCATTCCCTTTCCTCTCTTCTAAAAACAAACTCCTTTCTTCCCAATCATTATCCTAAACCCATGATCGCTTCAAAGTCATATTACAATCTCAAGTACTTTCCCTAAAACATTTGTCATTTTTTCTTGTTGTTGTTGTCTCTTTTGATGTAAAAATGCTTTCAAAATATTATAGAAGTTAGTTTTATTTGAATTTTATGTCTTTCATGTTTTTTCGTTCCATATATGCTTCTATGGAACTTATTGAAATATGTTATTTGGATTACATGTACATGTTGTCCCTTTTCCTTCATGTTTGTTCTCTACGCTGATAAAATTGCTTAAGTACAACGAGTTTGCTTAAGCGAATTTTGGACAAAAAGAGATATGTTAAGGAAGGAAAATTTGCTTAAGCAAACTCATTTCACTTAATATGTCAAAAATGTTGTGCCTTTTTTACCCTTTTAGTTACCTTAGTTTATTATGAAATTATGCATGTTATTTCAGGATAACACCTAAGATGTTTATTCCTTAAAGAAAAAGACAAAGGCCTAAAGTTGACTAAGGTTCCCAACAACATGGGGAGCCTATTAATGACAAACAACAACCATCACAACACCAACACAAGGACAACCTACGAATGCATCATGGGATAGACTTAGGTTTAGAAATAGGGCAAAGGCTTAGAGATTTGTTGATTTGTAGCCAAGGGAATTGCTCTATGAGCGGAAGGTGGTATTAGAGGAAGGAGAATATGACAATTTTATGCAAGAGATAATCAGCAAGAAATGACAATTTTTGACCAATTTCCTCCAAC